CGCGCCAACCTCCCCCCCCCCCCCCGCCCCCGCCCAGGGGTGGCCGGGGATGCGCCGCACCGTCGGGGCTGCGCTTCAGTCCCCGCCCGACAGCTCGGCTCCAAAACGCTGACATTTGCATTTAAAACAAAGAGGGGCGGCTGCATTATCACCGATCCCTTCTGATATTAATAGTCATAAACCCCGGAGTGATTACCGAAAGGGAACGTGTTAAATGCCAGGAGCCTGGGTAGGGTTGGGTCCCGTCCCCCGTCGTCCCCCCCCCAAAAAAAAAAAAAAAAGGAAAAAGAAAGAAACAAAAATAAATAAATAAATAAATAAATAAGGGCAACGCACTGAATCCAAGTCTGTATTTTAACTTTTTTAATAACGATTTTTCCTGTGCTGTAAGCTTGCACCGAATCCTGGAGGAATTGCTAAATCAGATTAAGGTTATATTTTGCAACAGACTGGATGGAGCAATAAAGGAGAAAGCGCGGAAATGGGACTTCACCCATCAATTAGATCTCTATTAGCAGCCAATGCAGGCTTCACCACAGGAAATGTCACGTCCCGGCAGAAGCAGAGCCTTTCACTTTCCCCTGAAATTAAACAATTCTTCATGCTCGCAGACCCCGGGCGAGCCGAGCCTTTGTTCGCCCGGGCGCAGAGGGTGCGCGTCCCGCCAGCACCTGCTCGCTGCCTGCGCCGGGAGCCGCGGCCGGGCCACCGCCTGCACAGGTTGCCCCAACACCTGCGCTGCTCGCCCGCCTGCCCAGCGCCCAGGAAACCGCCGCCTTAAAAGGCTCTATTAATATTAAAGGGGTTATTCCAGTCATAAACGGGCCATTACCAACACAATGGGGTGGTATTTTGAATAGCAGGTCGGCTCATCTGCCTCCATAGATCATATCTGCCAAAGCCGGGCCCCGCTACCCCCGTCGCTCCCCGTCCCCGTGGCTCCTTGGGGTTGGTGGGGCCGAAAGCACGACGCGGCTCCTTCGCACCGAGCCTCGACGGTGGCACCGTCGCAGGGTTTGGGGCCGTGTCAAGATAAGGCAGAGGCGGAGCGGGCCGCTCTCCGGGACGGAGGAAGAGGCTTCTTTCCCCTGTGCGGAGCTGAGAGCCGGAGGGGGGGCTCGGCTCTGGCTGCCGGGGCGTGCCTGGTACTTACTCCCCCCGCGCCCCCCCCCCCCCCCGTCACGGCAACCAGACGAGCCATCGGCTCCGGGGAGCATCCTGGGGGGAGGGAGGCAAGGAAGGGCACGGGGCCTTTCCCGCACACGTCCCCCCGCCACTCCTTCCCCCCTTCCCGCTCGGAGAAAAAGAAAGAAGAAAAGAGAAGAAAAGCCCTTGAATTTGCCCATAAGCGAGAAAGGTGCTGCAGGAAAGGAATGGCCAAGCAGGGGGAAGTTGCAGGGGGGATAAAGGGAGCTCTGTTGCCCCGGTCCTTGTTGTTCTTACTACTGCTCCATTCAGGCATCGAATTCAAATGGATATTTTACAGCTCAGCCCAGCTGAACGGGAGCTCAATGCCTGAAAGCTGCCGAGCTGCCTCCGCGGACATGCTCTGGGCCCGATATTATAATTTTCATAATGCGCTTTTATGTAGCTCCAGCCTCCTCCGGTGAGGAGCCCGCAGAGAGGCTGAAAGGGGCTTTGAGAGACCGGGGAGCGGGGCTGCAGCGAGCTGCGAACCCCCCGCCGGCGTGAGTGGCATCGCCTGCCCCGGCCGAGGGCGGCTGCCCCGGCCCCGGCCCCGGCCCCGGCCCCGGCCCCGGCCCCGGCCCCGGCCCCGGCCCCGGCCCCGGCCCCGCTCCCCGCCCGGCTGCCGCGCACCGGCCCAGGCCCGTTCTGGCCCGGGGTGTCTGGAGCCGTGCGCCCCGGCCGTCCCCGCCAAGCAGCCCAGGGGCACCGCGACGAAGCTTAAGCCGTCCTAACGACGTCCTGCCCCGAGCGAGTGTCCGGCCCCACCCGGGAAAAAGTCAAGGAAAGGGGGGATTCCCCCCCTCAGACAGGCCGTGGGGCTCGAGTGGGCCCGAAAGCCACCCTTACACCTGGCTGGAGGGAGGGGAGGTAAGCAGTAAGAGGCAGGGAGGGTTACTTCCATCTCTAAAAACCAGGTCGACTGAAAAATCTGTATTTATCATCCCCGGGTAAATCACCCGCTGCTGAAGAGGGTGCCTGGCTGAATCGTTAACCGGCTGGTGCCAGTGGCTGGGAATGACATTCAGAAGGTTATTGATTTCCCTTCAGGGCAAAGCGACACGGCTCCGCAACGCCCTCACGCCTCCGCCCCGCTCCGCAGGTGCGTGAGCAGCGATCATGGTGTGAAAACATCCGAGGTGTCCCCTGCGGGGTATTCCGCCAGCCCCTTCCGTCTGGGGAGGCACCGAGGAACGGTGGTCGAAGACAGTCACTGACAAAGGGCCTAAGTAGGTATCGCTGAGGTCAGCTTTAGCTCCAGGTGTGTCCTGAAATATTTGTCTGATAGGCTGAAGGAAGGGAAAATTAGAAAAGGCAAAAGGGGAAAAAAAAAAAAAAAAAAAAACCAACAACCAACCGACCAAACAACCAAAACCAAAACAAAACAAAAAAACAACGGAAGAATCAGAGGCCGCGGAGGGGGCGGGCAGCGGCACCGCGGGGCTTCGCTTCGGGGCACTGCAAGCAAGGAAGCAAGGAAGAAATCCTTTTACCTGTTTACAGCGTGGGTTTTGACGTTTAGCACGGAGTGGAAGGCTCCCTAAGAAACAAGTTACTATTTTTATCGCACTATTTATAACTGCAACCCGAATATGTGCAACTTGTCCCCAAAATCTTGTGTCACTACTGCCGCTTGTCTCTAGCTAAACCCCTGCTGCGGAGTTATAAACACGCAGAGGCATTTTTTTAACCAGCCCAAGTCCGGAGACGTGTTTTCTCTCTGCGGAGGTGTCCCAAAACCTCCCGCAGCCCCACTGCAGCTGCGAAGGGCGGGCTGCTTGGGGGCTTTGCTTTGGTGCCCCCGCGGTTCACAGCCCTCGTCTGGCCCCGCACAGGGCTTGGCTGAGCCCCAGCCCCAGTGCCCGGAGCCGGGCGGCCCCCCCGGGCCCCGCTCCCCCCCTCGCCGGGCAAAGCCCCCGCTCGGCTTCGCGGCAGCTGCGGCTCCAGGCACCGCTGCGGAGCATCATCGCTCCCTCCCCTCCTCCGGCTCTGCGGAAGAGCTGGAAGGAGGGCGGACAACAAACATCAATTCGCTTGAGGAAAAACAAAACAAAACAAAAAAAATAAAACCCAAACCAAAAATAAATTACAAAAAAAAAAAAAAAAAACAAAAAAAACAAAAACACAGACACCAAAAATACAGTTTTTTATCTCGTTCGGGTGGAATTTCACCCAAGATACGCCTCAGGGAGGGGAACTGTTAGCAGCTCCGAAATTTGCACGCCGTGAATTGCTCTGCTTCGCACCCACGGGGCCCGTGGGAAGCCACGGGTGGCCACGAGCTGCTTTAACCCTTTCTACGCGGTCTTTTGCAAAGAGGCAGAAATGCTGTTGGGCAGCTGGGCCACCTCCTCCTTCCCACCCACCCCACCCCACCCCCCCCCGCGGTTGTCCTCCCCAGGGGACAGCGAAAGGCCGGGGACCCCGTCTGCGCTCTGCAGAAGGGTCCGGGTGCTCCGGGAGGGCGGCTGTGCCCGCCGCGACGTGGATGCTGCCGTTTCTGAGTTGTTTTAGTTGGGAACCTACTGCGCTCATGTTACAAATGCAATTAATAGTAAAAGCAGGCTTTATCTGAGGAGTAGGAGGCAGCTGCACACCGCAGGTCATTATCCATTAGGGGGGAGCGTTCAGCACTTAGCAGGACTGTCGTGCTCAAGGCGAGGGGAGGAAAGGCAAAAGCTAATGCCTTATCTCCGGTCCTCCTCCCTCCATCACCTCCCTCTGCCCGGGACTGGGGCCCGTTTGCGGCAGGCTGCCCCAGGGAACAGGGCGGGCAGGGCGCCGGCAGAGCGTGGGGAGCCGGTGGGCTGCCCCCCGGGGCAAATCCCCGGGGAACTGGAGGAGTACAAGCCTCCCAAATATCTGCCCTTCTCGCCTGCCCTCTTCCCCGAGGCGTCTTTCACTTCGCTTCGTAGAGGTGGGCAGGGGCCGGCGAGCACCCGGCCGCCCCCAGTCCCAGCCATAGGAAAGCGGCTCCGTGCCTCAGTTTCCCCACCCTGCAGACGCAGGCCAAGGCTCCTAGCTTGCTTTCCGAACCACCTCCAGATCAATGCCCTGCGCTGGTGATGCTAACGGTGTTTCCACACCTCCGCGGACCTCCTTTACCACATGAGCTGCCCATCGCAACCCCGCCCGGGTGCGTGGAGCATCTGAAGGGCTGGCCCGATCACGGGCTTTGCCCCGCGGGATATTCCTGCTCCCTCCGGCCGGGAGCTGGGGGGGACTGAGTCAAGGAGCGGCCAGAAACCTGGGAGGCAGGACCCCCCCACACCTCGGCAGGGCTCTGCCAGCTGTGGCGGGTTGGCAGGATCCACCGAGGTCTCCACCCGAGACTTTTAGGGCTTCTCCCCCGTTAGATGACAGACCAGTCTCCCAAGGTCAAGAATACACTGAGCAAATCCAACACGTCTGGCTAAAACCTCGCTCGGGCCGCTCGCTCATCGCGGCACGGAGCAAAATACCTCCTCGGCAGAGTGGTGAGCTGGGGTGAGCCACCTACCATCTGCTCAAACCTCGGGATAAGAAGAAATAACCTATTGATTTAGTCGCTAAAAGAAGGAGAGGGAGGAGGGAAAAACAACAACAACAAAATAACAAAAAACCACCACACCAACCCAAAACAACCCTTTTCTGTACTCTGGAAGAAAAAAAAAAAAAAAAAAAGCACCTCTTCGTAGCTCAGTGGGGAAAAAGGTCAAGTTACTATTGACAAGTATGTAAAGACATCTTCTAACCATGGGAAAACATGTATAAATTGTTTCGACTCACTGCATTCAAAACCAATGGAAGTGAATTACAAAACTGCACTTCTTGCATTGTTGGACTGAAAGGATATCTATTTATCATCTTATAAGACAGCTCGAATGATCTTTATCTGCTTTGCCCACTTTCTGACCCAAATTCAGGGTTTTTATGGAAAATTGCAGTCAGTTTGATTGATGAAATCCAAAGATGTCTAAAATGGCACCAAAGATCTCCAACTGTGCAGACTCCAACCGAGGGCTTCAATGTTGGCATTGTTCCTACGAAAAAAGTTGAGAAAACGAGCAAAAGTTAGGGAATTTCTGTTTAAAAACTTCAAATTTCAATGAGGATCCCGAACCTATTATCCCTATTCATGGGGCGAACTGTGTGAACATAAAAGTATTTCCCACACACTGCAAAACAACAACAACAAAAAACCCCTTAGTATTAAGCCGCGCCATAAACCTTCTTTGTAAAACGCTGAATAACCCTGTGTAGAAAATAAACCCAGCCGTTCCCGTTTAGAAATCAAATAAGTTTAAATCGTATAAACGGGAAGCTCACAAGAGGAAGTGTTCAAAGCGAGTGGGAAAATATATATATATATATATATAATTTCATCCACACCTCTGAAATGAAAGAGAGCCTTAGTTTAAAATTCGGAGCTGCAATAGAGGATGATTTTTTAACCCGATACGTATCTTCAGAGGGTTGAATCCAGGGTTTAGAGGTGGCAGTTCGGCAGGAGAAGCTCTTTTCCCAGCCCTCCTGGTAGGAGGAGGGTGTAAACCGGTGCCTGCCAGGATTTAGCCAGCAGCACACTGAGCCGGGGGCTGGGGGCTCCGCAGGCAGGTGAACGCTCGCAGCCCCCCCTGCACCAGCACCGACTCGCTCTGGACGTGGCGGCGGCACAGAGCCCGGGCGCTGTTCGGCCACGGATCGGTTTGTCGTTGGCTCCCCGTCCCGTTTAGGGCCACACATTATTGTGGAATACTGTCACCTGCCTAATTGTGCTAAATGGCCACCTCCTATTATTAATAATAGCTGGAACGTGGCTCCTAGACACGTTACCAAGGCTGGGAAGCTGATGAATGAAACCCCTACTAGGGAAAATCTTGGTAGCTGTCTTCTGTCGCATTACCCAAGGGGGCCGACTATAAATCTTCCTTCATTTTAACCACGTTTACCCTCATACTCCTCCAGGCTAGGGATGCTGTGTTAAGATTGCACTGATGTGCCAATGCTTTGGACCAGCTGCTCCTAAATACAGACAAGTCCTTGTCAATTAAGCCATTGAGGAGCAGGGCCTGGGAGCTCTGGGGCATTTTAGCAGGCAGCAGTGTGCAGCCCCAACAATTAGCATCCATTTTGAAGGGACCTCCAGGGCACAACTGCACAGGCAGGGAAGAATCAAAACACCAGGCAACTTCAATTCTGAAAACCGGTCACATAATGATACTGAACAGACTGGCTGAGGAGAAGTGAGCCAATCTTTCTTGGGAAGGCCATTTACCCGCTCCCCCAGCCAAGCTGTAGGGCCGAGGCACGCCGCGAACCGCAGAGTCAGAGGAGATAAATGAAGACATTCATTTGCCTGTGTGAGCCGAAGTTTCCTTTGGCGGTTCTTCTTTGTAACTCGGTGTCACCTCAAGCAGCTGGTGGCATGCAATGCTCCCATGATCCTGGCCTTTGGCCCAGGCGGAGCTGGACAAGGCAGCCCGCTCCAAGGAGAAGAGCTGCGATGTCTCAGGTCAGAGAGGCCACGCTACCAGTGGGACAGGCAGAGCACTAGGAGTTCAGCTAAACAAAACCCCGAGGGGATTAGGGAGCCTGGGGGATCATTAGCGAAGGTATTTGCTTAAGTCATTAGGAAGCCGGTAGCTAAGGGAAAAAAAGGCTTGTTCCACAAGGCACCTCCTCAGAATTGCAGGGATGGAAATGCAGAGGATATCACAGCGCAAGACTATGTGACCCTACCAAGTTCAACAACAGAGCAAACAGCACATGCCATTAGGGACGGCAGTCAACCGGGAGGTAACAAAGAGGGGAGGGCACCGGCAAAAATGTTCCTGTATTAAATATGGAAAAGTATGGGGACAAGGGCAGGGGTCAATGAAAGTCAACAAGAGAGCAGGCTTAATGATAGAAAGAATTTAATATCAAAAATACATAAATCTGCATGGGAGGCAGCCCCAGAATAGGCAGAAAGGAAGGCAGCCTTGGAGTCAACATTCACTTGGTAATAGAGCCAGAATGGATAGCGCCAGGTTGTTAACATTTAACACAAAAGTTAGCGGGGAATAAAGGACGGAGGGCCGGCTCCTTTAATTGTGGGTCCACCGAGAGATTTCCATATGTCACACTAAATGGATAACACCAGCCCCGCTCCGCAAGGCTTCTGCCGGGGAGCCCCGTCCTCGGCTGCCCCCGCAGCCCACCCAGCCCACCCAACCCACCCCTCCTTTAACTTTCGTTCCCGATTATTTATTTTTCATCCGTCCCTCTCCGCTCTCCTCCGCGGAGCTCTCGACCGGGGCCGAGACAAAGGTCTGGCCCCGAGCACCGGCGGGGAGCGACGGCAGAGCAGAAAGGAGTGAGAGCGGAGGCTTGCGGGGAGCCCATGCTCCCCTGCCGGCCCTCCCCGGGGGTCGTGACTCGCCGCTGACTGTCGCGACATGAAATCTAACTTCTGCCGTTTTATTAACGTTCGGAAAGCGCCTTAAAGGACAAAAAAAACAGGGTCTGAGGAACAAGGACCCCGCTCCCGGTTCGGCAGGGCTCGGGGAACCGGGCGGGCCCGGCTGCCGCCCCACTGCGGGGACCGGGACGGGGCCGGCTCGGGGGAGCGCACGGACCAGGGGACGGCGTGAGCGGGTCTTCACGGACCAAAAAGAGAAGGGAAAAAAAAAAAAAAAAAAGAAAAAAAAAAAAGGAAAAAAAAAAAAAAAGAAAAAAAACCGCCGCCCCCCTGATCAATACGGCAGTGTTTCCGCGCTAGTTCAGGAGGTCAGGCGGGCGTAGACACAGCATGGAGAGTTATTTATGTCAAGTCGGGTTATTGTAAACGAAATCCAGCAAATTGCACATAAGCTCCTCGGGGCCGCCAGTGGGCTCGTGGGCAGAGGTCAGTGTCAGTCAGTCTGTCCATCCCTCTGGAGACAGTAATTGTCCGGGGGCTGACACCGCGTCGGGGGCGATAGGCGGCTCCATCCATCTCCATCCAGTTATCCCGGCGCCGGGGCCGGGGCTGCCCGCTGCTCCGCGGGTGCGTGGCACCAAGCCACGGCCGGGCTCACTCCCGGGAGTGCCACGGTGGGAATCCCACGGCTCCCACGGGCCGTGCCGGGCGGCGGAGCTTCCCCCGCGGCGCCCCGCGCCCCCCGCGCCCTGCACCGTGCCTCGCCGGCCTCCGTCATCCAGCCCCATCGCTCCCCCATAATCCCTTTATTAATAGGGAAATTCTTCCTTTCTGACAATTTAATAGTCCAAAGTAATCATCTGCGTGACATTGCCCATCCGTCTTCTCAAAAGAGAAAACAAAGGGGATGTTTTTTTCTCTGGGCCTCTCCAGATCCTTTTCTATTTTGAGAGAGGCTCCCCACAATGGGGTCCTTATGAACCATAATGGTTATGTTTATGAAGCCAGCGATACCAGTGTATGAAGACAATTTTATGCCTAATTAGAAAATGATGTAAGCAAGGGGGAGACAAAGAGGGCTTGTTTGCCGTGGCTGGGTCCCCGGCCATCACTCCTGGGCGAATATATCGCCTCTTCTGTGCCTTACGTCCACTATTTTTGTAACAGCTCGTCCATTAGCTTCTCAAACTGTTTATGATATCGTGGACAGTTAGTAAAACAGCTCAATTTAGCGGTGGATTAAAGCAATTTTGAAACATGTTCCGAAGGGAATCGCACGGGAGGCGAAGAGCAGCCCTCCCCGCTCCTATCCAAGGGGACTTCACCTCTGGGAAGACTCCAATAACTGCAACCCCAGCCCCACTCGATTAAGGGATAATTTTTAATATATATGCAATAAATGTTCACTTTGTTAGATTGAATGACAGACAATAATATCGGCAAATCTTCATATCCATCCATTACCGGCAAATGAGCCGCACAAAGAACATATTTACTTTTGATTAATTTATTTGCAGACTCTGTTTGATAAAGCAATAACTATTTGGTTAAACTTGACATTCGGTCTTCGGGGGGTTATCAGACCAATTCCCTCTCGTTCGAGGGTGATAATAAAGCTGTTTAAATGGGATTAATTATTAATTGGTTGCAATTAATTTCCCCTCTTCTCCGCGTCGACAAACAATGAGGATCACTCACTCCCAAACAAAAGGCTGCCGCAGGAGCATCCTCGCCCCATCCATATCTATCTGGCTGTTTGTCCGTCTGTCCCTCTCCATCCCTCCTGCTTCCTCTACACGGCGCCTCAGTTTTCCTCTCCGAAGCGTTCTATCTATCCTGTGGCAGGCCGATTCTCCCTCTCGGGGAGCGGAGAAGGGGGTGGCCGGGCCGCCAGCCCCGCGGCCGCGGTGACGGGCGCGGGGGGAGAGCGGGGCGGCCCCGGAGCTGACCGGGCAGGGATCCCGGGACGACGGGCCAGGGGAGCGGGTCGCTGGAGGACAAAACTCCCCGGCCTCAGCCGCGGTGATGAATTGCGCTGGGGGAGAAGAACAGAGCTCCTCTCTCCCCCTCTCCCTGCCTCTGATGAATGGGCCCCGAGGATGGATAGTCCAGAGTGTGTTATATCTTCATCAAACTGTGAAACCCCTCCCTTTACTAATAATCTGTCACAACTTTACAGAACACACACTGAGACCAAAGGGAAGCCCCTGCCCTGCAGCCTGCCCCTTCCCTCCCCTGTCAGGAAGGGCTTTCTCCGGGCAGGGAGCAAGGGGGAAGGGGGGCTCCCGCCGCCCGAAGCTTTCCTCGGCCGCTGCTCGGCCTCTTCCCCCTCGGCTGCCCCAGGACCCCCCTCCCGAAGGGCCCCGTCCCCCGGCCGGGGACCCCGCGGCCGCTGAGCCCGGTCCCTCCCTGGCGGCGGCGGGACGTGCTCGGGAGAGCCGGGGCAGGGCCGGCCGGTGCGAAAGGAGCCCGGCAAATCCGCCGCTCCCTCGGCAAGATTTTTAGTGCCGGGAGACACGAGGCCGGGAGGGGGCAAGCCACCCGTTTTCCCTGGGCGAAGGGGGGAAAAACGGCTAAGGCGGGACTCAGCATCCTCCAACAACAGCCCCAGCTCCTTCCGCTGGTGTTTCGCTCGGACACGGATAACTCTCCCTTTTCTCTTGAGTATTTACATTTAAAGCAGATGCGCCTTCCAGCAGCGATGTCCGCTCCTCTACTCTAGGCAGTTAAAAGCAACAATCAAACCTAGTTACCTAAGAGGAGAGCGGCGGGAGGTGCCGTGGGTGACGGGCGGCGGATACCCACAGACACCCGTGTGCCCGCGCCCCGCAGCTCCGAGCCCTGCAGCGCATCCTCAGCCTGCAGCCCCGGAGAGCTGCCCGCCGCTCCCCCCGGCTCTTTACCTAGAAAAAGGGTCGTTCCGGATTATTCTACTGTTAGCAACAGTCATTGCTCTGTCCGGGAATAGTTTGAGGCGTAAAACTGAGGCAGTGAAAGACATTAGTCTAATGGGGTTTGTCGTGTAGAAGCTGTTGATATTATGTTGTCATTCATCTCATTTAAAGTCCGAAGAAATGCATTCATGAGATTGTTTCTTTATTTTTTTTTCCCCTTTCTCCCCCTTTCTTGCTGTTTTAAAAACATCGCTTTCTTTGGCTGTTTGCTTTAGGGGCTTTTCATCTGCGTGTTTCAGATAAGAAAAGAAATCAGATTCTTTTATTTTTCGATTGGATCCGAATTCCTTTTGATGTCCCCATTTAGTGCCTTTGACTTCTCCTGTGAATGGCAGCCTTTTGTTGCCGTCCCACATGCCCTTTAAGAAATTCTCCCTTAAACGCCTGGTACCCGCTGATGGATCCGTTTTCAAATGGACCAGAAGGAAAATGCAAGGAGCGAGAGGCCCGTTTCCTTAGTAATTGCTCGCGTTTGGGTGAAAATGCAGATATTTTTGTCTGATGTGGGAGTATTGGGAGCAAGAACATCAGCAGGGGTTTAACACAAAGATTGTCAGCTGCGATCTCGCCGCACAAGGCGAGCAGCTCGCTTGATTGCCTTTGGTGTCCAGGTTGCGGGATCCTCCAAAAGTGGGGAGCGACGTGCAAACCCCCCCCCCCTCCGGCGGCCGGAGCCGCGCCGGCGGAGCGCGGGCAGGGTCTCCGCGCCCCGGGGGGGCGACCGGCCCAGCGCCCCCGCCGCGGCTGCCCTCCTGCCCACAGCCTTGTGCACCCCTGTCTCAGCAGCATCGCTAGCAAAAAAGAGATGATGCTTGTGACACCCCCCCCCACACACTTATATATATATATATATATATATATATATACGCGCGTATATCTTCGTATGAATAGTTGGGTGGACGGGTGGACGATTGCCTATGTGTATACTCAAATACTGCTGGCGCTTAGGAAAGATTCGCGTCGCCCAAAATTACACTTCGGAAGAAACTACGGTAAAATAAATTCGCCGTCCGAGAGCGCAAACGCTCCCGTGCTCCGAGGCTCGGCAAGCAACGAGGACACCGCACCCAGCCGAAGGTGATCAAAAGCTAAAACTCACAGGCATTCCCGAAACATATTTAGTTTCGATCTTAAATAAGGAGCTTTCCCCCCCATTGCGCCTCTTTGAGCGTTAAATATCTGTGAAATAACCGGTAAGAGATTAGAAATCGTTTTCGAGAAAGGACTTCAAGGTACGTGGGGCAGGATCAGCCCCGTGTCCCGCAGAGATCCATTCGCTAAGCCGGAGCCCGTTTTCTCCTCCAAATACAGCATTTTTTTTTCTTGCCACTCGCCAGGGCTACATCGTTGCAAAACCATTTCCTGACCGTTTTCATTTTTTCCCCTTTCTTCGTATAAGCTCTCCTCTCTTACACCATTATGTCTCGGGACACTGAAGGATAATTAAATGTTAACAGAAATAGCAAAAGGTCGGATACATGACAGAGCTATTTGCTCCCACCCAGCAGAGCGCGGGATTTCGGGGCTGTGAGGGGAAAAGGCTGGGGTGAGCCTTTGAAGGGGACCCGGTGAGCCGCACAGGTTCAAGGGACGGAGAGGCTAGGTCTCCCGGCAGGTAATGAAATCTCAGCCCCCCGCTTATCCTTCTTTTTTTTTTTGGCAAGACACTTCAGAGGCCGACCTGAAAGCATCCCTTTCTCGTGGGGAGCTTTGCAGGACAGATACTTTCTCCCCCCAAGCAGCAAGAGCTAACCAGGGTCCTCCAAGTCATCTATTCTCCAAGGAAAAAAAGCTCGCACTGCGACAGAGGGGAGAAAAAGAAAAAAAAAAAAATCGAGCAAGATTTTCTTTAGAATACAAATGTGTGAGAAAAGGTTGCGTATATTTGGAAACAAATTTGTAGCCAGACATAATATTTCGATTCTGCAAAGACAATGGCAATAAGAGCGGAGCGAAAGGTGCCTTACTTACGTTTTAGGCGAGCGCCTTCCCTTCCGCACTGACCTGCCTCCTGTGCTGTAGATTATTTTATACATTTCTCCCAGATACACTTATAAACAAGTGGAAATTTTGCATCCTACCCGCACCATTTTATACAT